TCCATTCCTGACCCCCTCCTTCCATCTCCCCCTCTCTCACACACACATGCAGAGGTCTTACCCCAGAGCCTGTTGGTACCCACAAGCCACTTTTATCACTGAGCCACATCTCCAGCCTTCAACACCCACACTTTTAAAGAATCTGGAGGAGGGGCAGTGAGGGGGCCCAGCCTGGGGTATGAGAGAACTCATCTCCAAAAACAAATAACCCAGCAACAACAAACAGGAATCTGGGCTTAAGATGAACCTCAGGAAAACTGTTGCTTAGCAACTGCAAGCTCTAGGTTCTGTTTGATTCACAGAACAACAGACAAAGCAAAATAAAATTGCAGGGCTAGGGAATACAGCTCAGTGGCAGAGCTGGCCTCGAACCGCAGAACCACACACACACAGCAAAACAGAAAAACAAATAAACAAGAAGTTATGAGGTAGGTATGGAATAGCAATCCGTGTGTATAATGCAGCACTTGGGAGGTTGAGGTCTTAAGACCCCTCAGAGTCAAGTCTAGGCTGGACTGCGTAGTGAGTTCCAAGCCAGCCTCTGCCTCCAAATTTTGTTTCAAGCACAAAATTTTAAAAAGGGAGAAAAATCTTGCACATAATCTCAGTAGGATATTACAGCCTAACTAACTCAGCCACCATTCAAATAATCAGAAGGAGAAGGTGAAGGCCCAAGAGAAGCTTCAGTAGGTAAAGGTGTTGCTGGCACACTGCAGATTTCAGCTCTATGCCCGGGACTGACCCAGAGAGTGAAAACAGACATCAAGCTCCCACAGATCTTCTGATCTCTGCGTGTGTTCCTCGTCATGCACACGCCCCACACAGTGGACCTCAAAAGACTGCATGTGCCTTGGCATCTGCATGCCCCATACTGATCCTCTGGCCCCTGCATGTGTGCCTTACCATTGCATGCCTCACAAAGTGGTCCTCCGGGCCCTGCATGTGTGCCTTGGCATCTGCATGTCCCACACTGGTCCTCCGGGCCCTGCATGTGCGCTATAGTATCTGCACGCCCCCCACTATGTAGATTAAGTAAAAAGTGAGAACTAGGGATTGTATCCTCAACCGGCGGTGTCGAGTCTCACTTTTTAAAGCCCTCTCTGACCTTTTACTATATTTTCCCCTCCCCCTCCTGTCTTTGCTAGAGAACTGTGTGTACCAAGCCAGCTCCCACCCTCACTTCTCAGCCATCCTTACATCCTCTGCATCCTCCCCACCCCATTAGGTGACTGGCTTCTCCCAGATACCCTGCCCATGGCCAGGGCTTTTGTGGGCAACCCTCTCCCCCACCTCCAGGAGGATTTATCCCAGGATCTCCTGCACCCAGCTATACCTCAGCCCCAGAGGGTTTCGGTTGCTCTGACCCATTTCCTCTTTCTCACACAAATGGATCACAGTGCAATGTTCCCTCTGTCCACCAGGCTCCTGTGGAGAGAAAGCATCACTCCTGTGGACAAGACTGTCAGGGGACCACAGAGGCAGCAGAGACTTCTGGTCTCTAAGGACAACAAGCACACCGTCATGGCAAGTTATTTTGAGTTTATTTTCAAATAACCAGTAAAAATGAACCTGAATTCAGTATAAATACGTAAAAAATAAAAGTGAACAAGGGATGGCTGAATAAATTCACCTCCAAGTTTACCAACTCGAAAAACCAGCTCAACAGCTAAACATCAAAACTGCACATAAGTAGAAGCCAGGAGAAGCAGTCAGAGCCTCGCCCAGCACAACACAAACATGGCCTACGGAAGAAGGTTCCGACCTAGGGTACCCAACAGTGTGGCCAAGGACAGAGCCCAGAGACAAAGGAACCTTAAAAACCTACTGGTGTTTTCTTAAAACATTTCTTTTTTGTATTTTGACAGAAATTACCTCCACAGAGCCCTAGCCATAGAAACTCACCATACAGACCAGGCTGGCATTTAACACACAGAGGTGAAGGTGTTTGCCCATGACTGACAATGTATTTCTTTTTAACATCGCACACACACACTTACTTTTTTGGCTTTCTCTTATTGCAAGTCAAAATCAGATAAGCACAATAGTAAGTTACAAGGACATTTTTCAACTTTGTAGTCTGGCAAAATAAATCACACAGTGTGGCAGTGTTAGGGAAAAACCCACCCTCAGAGTACTGACTTACAGGATATATAAAAACATTAGTTATTGCACAAAATGAATAAATGTGTCCCTAAGGCTAGGACATCAGTGCAAATAAACTCAGGAGGGAAGGAGCAACCCAGACAGACAGCAATGGGAGTCCTCAAGAGCCACAAGTCTGCTGCCTGGAGGACACGGGGAGGGCGAGGAGGGGCCTCTAATCCACCTCCTCGATGGTGGGCCCCGACCCGGAGCCCCCCTTGGGCGCCTGGGCCCCGAAGCCCCCAGCCCCGGGAGCACCCGCGCCCTGGTACAGCCCGCTGATGATGGGGCTGCACACCCTCTCCAGCTCCTCCCGCTTGTGCACGAACTCCTCCTTCTCGGCCAGCGTGTTGGCGTCCAGCCAGGAGATGACCTCTTGGCACTTGTCCAGCACCTTCCTCTTGTCCGCCTCGCTGAGCTTGCCCTTGAGGCCCTCGTCCTCCACGGCGCTCTTCATGTTGAAGGCATAGGACTCGAGCGCGTTCTTGGCCGCCACCCTCTCGCGCTGCACGTCGTCCTCGGCCTTGTACCTCTCGGCCTCCTGCACCATGCGCTCGATCTCCTCCTTGCTCAGCCGGCCCTTGTCGTTGGTGATGGTGATCTTGTTGGCCTTGCCCGTGCTCTTGTCGGTGGCCGTGACGTTCAGGATGCCGTTGGCGTCGATGTCGAAGGTCACCTCGATCTGGGGCACGCCCCGGGGCGCCGGCGGGATGCCGCTGAGCTCGAAGCGCCCCAGCAGGTTGTTGTCGCGCGTCATGGCCCTCTCGCCCTCGTACACCTGGATCAGCACCCCGGGCTGGTTGTCCGAGTAGGTGGTGAAGGTCTGCGTCTGCTTGGTGGGGATGGTGGAGTTGCGCTTGATGAGCGCCGTCATCACGCCGCCCGCCGTCTCCAGGCCCAGCGACAGTGGCGCCACGTCCAGCAGCAGCAGGTCCTGCACGTTCTCCGACTTGTCGCCCATCAGGATGGCCGCCTGCACCGCCGCCCCGTAGGCCACCGCCTCGTCCGGGTTGATGCTCTTGTTCAGGTCGCGCCCGTTGAAGAAGTCCTGCAGCAGCTTCTGCACCTTGGGGATGCGCGTCGAGCCGCCCACCAGCACCAGGTCGTGGATCTGCGCCTTGTCCAGCTTGGCGTCGCGCAGGGCCTTCTCCACGGGCTCCAGCGTGCCGCGGAACAGGTCCGAGCACAGCTCCTCGAAGCGCGCCCGCGTGATGGACGTGTAGAAGTCGATGCCCTCGAACAGAGAGTCGATCTCCAGGCTGGCCTGCGTGCTGGACGACAGGGTCCTCTTGGCGCGCTCGCAGGCCGTGCGCAGCCGCCGCACGGCGCGCTTGTTCTGGCTGATGTCCTTCTTGTGCTTCCTCTTGAACTCCTCCACGAAGTGGCTCACCAGACGGTTGTCGAAGTCCTCCCCGCCCAGGTGCGTGTCGCCCGCCGTGGCCTTCACCTCGAAGATGCCGTCGTCGATCGTCAGGATCGACACGTCGAACGTGCCGCCCCCCAGGTCGAAGATGAGCACGTTGCGCTCGCCCTTGCCCGACCGGTCCAGCCCGTAGGCGATGGCGGCCGCCGTGGGCTCGTTGATGATGCGCAGCACGTTCAGGCCGGCGATCACGCCCGCGTCCTTGGTGGCCTGCCGCTGCGAGTCGTTGAAGTAGGCGGGCACCGTGATCACCGCGTTGGTCACCGGGTGGCCCAGGTACGCCTCGGCGATCTCCTTCATCTTCGTCAGCACCATCGACGAGATCTCCTCGGGGTAGAAGGCCCGGCTCTCGCCCTTGTAGCTCACCTGCACCTTGGGCTTGCCGCCGTCGTTCACCACCTGGAAGGGCCAGTGCTTCATGTCCGACTGCACCACCGCGTCGCCGAACTTGCGGCCGATCAGCCGCTTCGCGTCGAACACGGTGTTCTGCGGGTTCAGCGCCACCTGGTTCTTGGCCGCGTCGCCGATGAGCCGCTCGGTGTCGGTGAAGGCCACGTAGCTGGGGGTCGTGCGGTTGCCCTGGTCGTTGGCGATGATCTCCACCTTGCCGTGCTGGAACACGCCCACGCACGAGTAGGTGGTGCCCAGGTCGATGCCGATCGCCGTGTTCTTGGCCATGGCTCTCTCGCTCTCTCGCTCACTCGGTCTCTCGGTCTCTCTCTGCTGCCGGGGCTCTGCGCTCAGCTCCTGCGAGGCTGCGCTGTGCTCTGCGGCGGGGATGCTCCGGGGAAGGTTGGTCCTGGCCGAGGGTCCGGAAGGTCGGGAACGCGCACTTTCGCTTCTCTGCTTCTCTCCGCTGGGAGGGAACCTGAGATTCCTTCTGCACCGCAGGCGGCGTCTGGAGCTCTGCTGGCCGCCGGGCGCCTTTATGGAGCGTCCTCCGGTCCCGCCCGCTGTCCCCTGGACCAATCAGCGAGCCGGAGGCGGCCGTGGGGACCGAAATCTTCCAGCAGTTTCGCGTCTGGTGGAGCCTCCCCGCCTCCTCTGAGTAATCGCTGCGGAGGGTGCTGCCGCTGTCCAGAACTCTCCAGACACTTCTGGGGTTCGCTGGAGAGGCCGGATTCCTGCGGGGAGGGCGGCGGGCCGTGCTGGTGCCACTGTTGCCATGGCGACACATTACAGCAGCCTCCGTGGACTGGGACTCCGTGGACTGGGAGGTCACGCTAACTCGGTGCTGTGGATTGTTTGTTGGTTGTGATCTCTGGGTTTCTCTGACGCAGTTCTGATTTTGGGGGTCGAGCTGTGGGCCTTAACTCCCCCTACTCCTCTCGGGTGACGGAGGGATAGGCTTTGGGGCGTGTCTGGTGACGTGGTTCCCTTCAGTCGCGTTACAATGGCCATGCTGACTCTGACCTCACGGACTAATTTGGGAATCTGAGACTCAGTCCCAGAACAGGCTCAGAGTTGCCGGGAGGGGCGGGGTGGGGGGTGGGGGGGAACCCCAACTGCAAGCAGTTTGGATGTACCTGGAGCTTCCCACTCACAGGGGCTCAGCGACCTCAAATTTTTCAAACTGGAGCGAAGGCGGAGAGATTCCAGGTGAGCCGTGAAGGCTCTTATTGGAACGAGTCAGAAAGCTGTGTGTCTTAGTTAGTCCTTATATGAAGAAGGGCCTCGACATTCCTTAGGTTTGATTAATTTACAGACAACAGCTAGAGGCACCCGCCCTCCTTTCCTCAGCGTCTTGAGTGTTGGGATTACTAGTGTGGCCCTCCCCACACAGACCCTAGTTGTTTCCATTCTGGGGGTGGGCGTTAGCAACCAGGAAAACTGTGTCTCTTGGGGAGAGGGTGGCTGGAATTAGCCTGTGTCAGAATCGGGAGCAGACACCCTTTGAGACCTTGTTGAATATGTGACTGGCAGAAGACAGGAGTTACAATCGAGAGGACAGAAATTGGGTGTAGAGATGCGTGCCTGTGATCCCAGTACTGAAGATGTCCAGAAAGCGTGGCTACGGGGGTGGGATTATGTACTAAAAATATGTAGAGAATCTCCCTGTTGTGCCCTCCTTCTCAGAAAAGTTGATCGAGGCTGCGTGGTGGCTCAAACTTCTAAGCCCAACTCTTAGGAATGAAGGCAGGAACATTGCCTGAGCTATATAGTGAGACCCCTATCCTAGAAATAAGATAAGGCTTGTTTGGGGTGTCCTAGCAGAACCCTTCAGAGTGCGCTAAATTACTGCACCACAGGTTGCTCAGGAAGGCACATCTCCATGGAGACTAGTGCCTGTCTGTTTTAAGCACTGGTTTGTCTGTGTTTGTGTGAGCTCCTTCAGCGAGGAGAAGCGGCTGTCTCATCCACTGGAGCTGATGTAACAGGCAGGCGTGAACTGCCCAGGGTGGGTGCTGGGAACCAAACTCAGGTTTTCTGGAAGAGCAGGAAGCATTCTTAACTGCCATCTCTTTGGCCCCTAATATCTTTTGTTTGTGTTTTTGAGACAGGGTTTCTCTGTGTAGTTTTAGAACCTGGAACTTGCTCATAGACTAGGCTGGCCTTGAACTCACAAAGATCTGCCTCCCAAGTGCTGAGATTTAAGGTGTGTGCCACCACTGCCCGGCGTGGCCCCTAATACCTTTTTTGCAGAGTTTAGAATACCATCTTAGGAGACAGGTAGACAGTTATGGTCCCACAGTAAAACATATCACCGTCATGGGAGCCCTACGTTTGATGTAGGCCTGGGAGGAATGGGGAATATAAACCCGCTTTCCTTCCACCCTCGGAGTATAGGCCTGGGAGGAATGGGAAATATAAACCCGCTTTCCTTCCACCCTCGGAGTAGCCGAGAACACTGCTGTCTGCCGTCATCACGTAAGCGCTTACGTGGTCATCACGTAAGCGCTTGGCGTGGATGTGGATGTATGCTAGCAGCAGCGCTATTCTCAACAGCGAGGAAGCGGAAGCAGCTTGGGGTCTGTGCAGAGATGAATGTGGAAGGAAAGAGTGGGAGACACATAAAATGGACAGTGTTCAGTCTTAGAAGTACCGAAATATGCAAGCTCATGGACAAGAATTAAGGACATTACGCTGAGTGAAATAAGGCCAGCCAGCAACGGACAAATGCGGTGTAATTCCAGCTTTGTAGGATAAGGGTAGACAGATCTCCAAAACATTCCACTCGCGGTGAGAAACAGAGCAAAGGTCAGCGTAATTTCCACTCCCAGCTACTGTGGAGGCTGAGCCAAGGGACTGTAGGCACCACCCAGCAAAGAGAACATAAGGAGACCCATTTGAAAAGAATTCCTGTTACAATGAGTATTTCAAAATGAATATAGGCGAAGGTTCATTACTAACCTTACGATTTTAATCAAGCCTACTGGGGCAAGGTTCAGATTAAACAGGAGCCAGTCTGGCAGCAGAAAGTGGCCTGTGTATACCTCCTGCATCGTGGTGTTGATGTTTGACCAGCCTGTCCTGCTCTAGCATCCCCAAGGCTCTGGGTCCCACCCCAGTACACAGAGACAAAACCCAGAAGCGAACCTGAAGGTGATTTCGAAGATGAAAGAGCAAAAGGAAGTGGAGTAGGCATTCTGACAATGTGTATTTGATAGTTTTCAGAGTGGAAACTCAGGTACATAAACTATAGCATCAGACACCTTTAAAGTTGAGGCCTAGCACCTTTCTCTGTTGGTGTCCCGTTTCTTACAAGAGGGAAAACACGGAGTTGTAGGACATCTGAGACAGCTCAGACAGTCGTAAAGAACAGCCTGCTGTAGTGACGCATGCCTGTAACCCCAGCACTCGGGAACCTGAGGGAGAATAGCTGCGTGT